ATATGTATTCCTTGTAATGAATCTCCTTTGCCTGCCATTATTTATGTTTGTGTAAATTTACAGAGTACAACTCTGAACAGTTTTTGTATTACTTTTAAAATCCATTCAAGTTTAGTTAAGTTTTATTTCTATTTTTCCATCAATTTATTAAGGGATAAAAGCTTATTTATAGAATTCTGGCTTTTCAACACCCTGCAAGGTTTCAATTTCAAGGTATCTAATTTTCAATTCAGATCTCAAACCTTTGGCGATAAAGAGATGAGAGACCATCTCAAATACCTTGCCAAATTCAAGGTGTACACCTGCTCTCCCTTTATTCTTACAGCCAGTCATCACTTACAGTTGTAGTGAGGTTGGTAAAGCAAGATTTTTCCACAGTAAATGTGTGCCAATTGCTTTCAGTCACCTTCTCTATTAGGTGGCTGGACATTATTTCCAGGATGATTTGCTTTGTGACTTTGGTAGGGAAAGAAGGAAGGCCTTTATTGGGTTTATGTAACTTTTTTGTTTGTTTGTTTTAATTTAAATAATATGAGAAGAGAGTGGAACAAATCAATTGTCCTAGGGATACTCACTTTCCAGAAAGGAAACCAATAAAATGAAAATGAAGCAACTAGTCAAAAAATCTTCAACTGAACACTAGAGCAAGCAGAAAAGAAACATTTGTTGGATACTGTTAAGAAAATACTGTAGCTGACACCCAACTGAAATATGTGCTACAATTTGAAAAAAAGTTAAAATAAAATAGTTCCAAACCACCCCCTGTCCCCAAAGAGTCCTAAGTTCTCTCTAGAGACTGCGAAAGTTTTTATGGCACTTACATGGAAAAGGTCATTTAAAACTTAAGCTTGCATTGCTGAGAAACAGGTAGGACCAGTAAACAGAGACAGGAGAAATGCAGGTGGGAAGTTGAGAAGCCTAAAAAGGCTCTTGAAGAGTGGTTTTCAAAGCTTAAGCTATTACAGTAAAATTTTGCTTAAATAGAGTGAAAAAGAAGACAATAAGGAAGTTAATAGGTTTGCTTAATGATAACAGTGTAAAATGATACACTGGGTTTACAAAGCCTAAAAGAACAGTCTTTCCCTTGATTCGATGATCATTAAGATGTCTTTCAATCCAAACCATGCTGTGATTGTATGTTTCCATGCTAAATGGAAGATGAAGATGCCCACAACTTGTGTATGCTTTGCAGCAGATAGGCATTAGACCTATTTGAAGTAATTATGAGGTCAAGTAGAGTAGTTGCTTGTAAATATATTGAAGTTAATATTCTTCACTCACAGAGGTGTGAAGAAACTTAAGTATGAAATTACTCTAACCTAACAGTTAACAGCCAATGCACTGGCAGGTTGCCACTATAACTCCCAACTACAGAATGGGCTCCAGAGGGAGCTGCAGTAACATGGCTGCTTCCGTACTCGGAAGATGGTAGTCAGTCTTTAGGAAAAAGAGGGTGAAAGGGAGAAAGTAAAAAAAAAAACCAAAACCAAATAACCAGAAAAGAGCACCATAGAGAGGACTACCACTAAGCACAAATCAACACAGTTTTATTGGGGAAGCATTAATGTGGCTTCTGTAAAGGAAAATCCTGCTTCATTAACCTGCTGGAATTGCAGAAGGGTGACAAAACTGTGTGGTAACAGTAATCTGATGAGTATTTTTTCAATTCCTTTAACAGTTCTCCACATGAAATGTTGTCATGGTTTGACACTGGCACAATGCCAGTGCCCCCATGAAGATACCCTCTCCCTGGTAGCTGCTGTGAAATGTGACCAGGAATAAGCAAAGCAGGCTCCTACTTAGGGGAGAAAAACAAAACTTTATTAACTACACTACAACTACAAATAAAAAGGAACACACACACACAGGGAAAATGAAAACCTCACAAATACATTTCCTCCTCCCCCCCACCAAATTTCCAACACAATACATCTATTCCTCAAATCACCAACTCTCTTTTAGACAATCAATCCTCAGTTCATCAAGAGGAGAGGAGTCCTTCTTGTGCCATGGGCTTCCCCTGGAAACACAGTCGAAGCCTCGTGTGTTCCTGTGTCACTTGTGGCACCGCCCGGAGTACATCTGCCATCGTGACCTCTGCCTTTTCATGTCCAGTGCTCTCACCACTGAACACGGACCAGAGCTGCTTCTAGGGTGATCTTTTTAAGGATGCTTTGTCCTGATCCAAAAAAGGCACAGTCTCTCCTTTGGGACACCTGTCCCCACAATCTCTCCTTTGGGACACCTGTCCCCCCCATATTTTTTCACCCCCTGGGGCCGAGGGGCACCAACACTGAACCCTCTTGGTTCTGAGGCCATTGCCTCCCCCTAGAATGCAGTCTCTGTGTCACAAGGAACATGGTTCTGTCCATGGCTGTACAAAAAGAGTCCAGCAAAAGCCACTCCATCATCTCTTCCCACTAGGATTCTTCTCTATTCTTCCACTATTTCTCACTCGCCCAGACCTCTCTCACACTTGCACATTTCCTTCCTCATCTTCCACTCTATCTTCTAGGAAAGGTCAATGTTCTGTAAAGTTCTCATTCTCCAAAAAGGGGTTAAAAGCTCCTACAAGCGGCCGGCTGAACCCCCCCTTCTTCTCCGTCCCAGCCGTGCTGCCGGCAAGGCCCATGTTTATCCAGTCTCAAGGTTACAGTCCCAGGCAACGGCTCTCTCTCTCTCTCTCTCTCTCTCTCTCTCTCTCTCCTCTCTCTTTCTCTCTTCCACCCTTCCACCCCGGGGCTCAGGCCTACCTCTCTCGGCCTCATGGCTTTTCCCCTCCCCCTGCCCAGCCAGCAGCTGGGCCGGGGCAGAGACCCGAACTCTTTCCCGCTGGAAACCCAAGAGAGCCTCCCAGGGGAGAGCTCTGCTTTTAACTCTGTGTTCTCAGAGGCGTGTCCATGTCCCAATGGCCAGGTTAAATGCCAATATTAAAGTCTGAATATCCATTGGCCAAAAACACAGCATCCCAAAAAAACACATTTCCTCTCAAACCACCACAAATGTAATAAAGAAATTTTTTTTTGCTCTGTGATTGGAGGAAAGGTCCTTTTAGCAACTGGGAAAGCAGAAGAAATAAAGAGTAGTGCTTGTGTGCCACTTCCAGGATAAAAAATTGGAATCACACTGCACAAACTGTTAGGCTAGTCTTTCTTGAATAGCATCTGCTTTTGCCTCTGTGGGAGGCATAGTACTGCTGATGGTTGGACTTGGCACTGGCTAACCCATGCGGGCATTTATAACATTCACCTAGCCATTGACTTGGGTGAGTTGAATCTTGTATTGTACATAGAAATTTTTGGTTTGGACTTGACTAAATTTTTTCCATCTTAGATAAATCATAATTTCAGTTGGAGATTATTTCATAGATAAATGAATTTATTTGGAGGCACTTCAGGTATTCTGACTATGAACTTCCCCTTAACTTATTTAATATAATTAGTTTACATCTGCATGTCTTTCATCAACCGAAAGGAAAAGATACGTGTAGAAGTTCACTCTTAAAAATATTGTCCAGTCACTATATTGCATGCTTGTCAATTAGTGTCTAGAGAGGCAGTATATTTGTTCATAAATGTGTTCATTCAAATAATGATTTTAAAGTTGAAAACTAACTGTTTCAGAAGATAAAGATTCAGGTAGGAACCATGTCATGTTGATTTCAGTCTTTAATTACATAAGCAATGTTTTTTCAGTGAAATATTTTGCCATTCAATGCAAAAAGCCAACATGCTGTGAAGACTTAAGACAGTGTGGAGACAAAAGCCACTGAAGTCTGTGTAATAGAAACTGATGTTTACTGAGTTTTGGAAGATGAAAGAACAGCAAAGAAAATCAACCTGTGAAGGCAGATAAGTGATCCTAAAAATAGCTGGATTTCTTATGTGCCATGCAAAGGAAGTTACTTTAACTTTTCACGTTTATAATTTTCTCTGTAATTTATGTTTTACACCTGAGTCAGAGGTGCACTTGACTTGCAATGTGCTTTAATGCACTGTGTATACCAAATGACTTCTTTTTTAAGTCCTTTCCTTAAGTTGGCAAATATTTTGGCCAGATTCTTTTTGTGCCTTATTTCAGATGGCACAGTAGGGAAAAGCATAAATTTTCTGTGAAGTAGGTGCTGCTGTTTGGAGTACAATTGAAATGAGTGAGAACACTAGCAGTCAAACTTTCACAACAGAGCTAGAATAATGTGTATTTGTGCATGAAATGCATTTATATTTTAAGCAGAAGCTGCCTATTAAATGACTCTACTCTGTTCTGTGTATTGTATGATCTTTGGCTGAAACAAGTGGGGGTTTTATTGCTTAAATATTAAACAACTATATAGATAGAGAATGTGTCAGAAAACACAAGTATAAATAAACAATTTAAATAATGTCTTTCTTTCTAGCATTTCCCAATTTGACTTTGAAACTTTAGTATTGGTATCCTGGCAACTTTATTTATACGTAATTTTATTAAATTGAAAAAAGAGTAATTCAATTTATTGTGCAGAGCTTAGCTGGTTGATATTACAGAATAAACTGTGGTAGTAATATGGTAGTCCATCAGGGCCAGAAAATGGGAGGAATGATTTTGTTAATAAGTTTCTTGAATAGTTGCTAGATCGTAAGACATATCTTCATGAGTTTGGCTGGCAGTTTCCCCTGAGACAGAGTACTTATCTACCTCTTAAAAGGATTTTACCTCCTACTGGTCTTCTTTTAATCTCAAATATTTTCTTGCCTAAAAAGGATGGGCTGAAACTTCTTACTGTATGTTACAATCAGAGTTGTGTTTGAATTTTGGACATTCATATGATTTACACATTTTAAAAAACTGTTGTATGAAGGACTCCTTACGTTAGAAGTAATGCTAAGTGTTGTCAAATTAGAACTAATTCCTGGGTGTTGACAACTTTATTCCCAGTAATATATTGGTGTGGGTTTGGATTAATTTCTGTAATTATTTTAGTGGCATCTGTGTGATTGTACCTATTTTTTCCTCTTTTGTAGGCTGAATCTTAAGAAAGAATTGGATCAGACAAACATACACCATTCTGTAAGTTCACAATACAGGAACTATACTTACAGCAAAAAAGGAAGGGTATAGTATTTTATACCTTTGTATGTAGTTTGAGTGGGTTGAGCCTGGCTGGATGCCCGGCAGGTACCAAAGCCTCTCTATCACTTTCCTCTACAGCTGGACAGGGGAGAGAAAATATAATGAAGGGTTCATGGGCTGAGATACTGTCATGGACAAAACAGACTCAGCTTCAGGATATTAATCGAATTTATTACTAAAAATATAAAGGAAGAGTAAAAACGAATATTAAAACCACCTTCTTCTCATCCCTCCTTCTTTCTCAGCTCTACCTCCTTCCCCCCAGCAGCGCAGGGAATGGGGTTATGGTCAGTTCATCACATGTTGTTTCTCCCACAGCTCAGGAAGGGGACTCCTTCCCCTGCTCCAGTGTGGGGTCTCTCCCGTGTCTGCAGAATTGCTTCTCTCACATATTCTCTCTCTGCTCTTCTCTGGCCACAGTTACATCTACAATCACTTTTTTCCTTAATTATATTACCATGTTACTTGCAACTCTGATTGGCCCAGCCTTGGTCAGCGGTGGGTCCATCTTGAAGCTGCCAGGGATTGGCTCTGCTGGACATGGAAGAAGCTTCTCGCAGCTTCTTACAGAAGCCACCCCTGTAGGTCCTCCTACTACCAAAACCTGGCCACTCAAACCCAGTACAGTAGTCTGTCAGAATACTAATTATTTATATATGGTTATTTTCCTCCAAAGATTGTTTTCTTTTTCATGAATGTGTATTTTGTAATCATATGGCCATACATGTGACAGTATGTTTGTTCATTATTTGTCTACACATCTATTAAATCTGACAATTTATATGAATAAATACACATTAATACATTTGCAACTAATATGTATATTCTGGCTATTTATGAAATATACTGATACAGTAATTTCATGCTTATTCAGACATCTCTTTTAATTCTAGTCTCACAAAGTATCTGAATTTGAAAGTAAATTAAAATGGTGAAATTGTAAGAGTTGATCATGAGTATCTTTTCTATCTTTATAATCTTTACAGTAGTTGATGGTTCTGTGAAGATGAGTCTTTGTCAGTCAGATAGGTAATATATTGCCACTGCCTCTCCATCACTCCTCTGATTCTGTGTATTATGAGCTGTTCCTGAATATTCTGGGAGAAATATTCAAGAGTGCATAATTACAGTCCATCTGGATATTCCATCTGTGGTGAATTCTTTATGCACAGTATTGTGCACAGGAAGTAAGTAGGAGACTTGGAGAAGTATTCTACACATTCTTAGCAATAAAGCCTTACCATTCTTGCAGTTTTCTCCTGGTGGCTGTTTTCTATTTTTTGTGATAATGTTGACTACTTGAATGAAAAAATATAGATTTTTTTCCTAACTTTAAAATTCTGTCTTTAAAATTAGGTGGGAGTATCAAGCTGCTGAAAACGGAAAGTTACCTTTTCCTTTTTTACTATTTCTTATGTGTTGTGTTCATAGCCACAGAACTGAATGTTTAAATACTTACTTTAAGAAGCACTTTTTTGGTTTTTTCCAATTCAGTCTTTGCAGAAAGAGAAGGGGAAAGATAACCAATGGTGAGAAGGAGTTAGGGGCCTACTGAGCAATATCTGGAATTTTCCAAAAAACAGTCAGAACTGCCAGTTCTTGACATGTTTAGTCCTTTAACAATTAGTATTTTCTTCCTTTTTTGTTTTGTTTTCTTTTCAGGTAAACATACGCTCTTTTAAAAATTTGTGGGTGGATGCACACTTCTGATTTTGTAATTAGTACAATGATTAGCTATTATTTTCTGGGGACTGAGAAAAATGTTTAAATTACTAGTGAAGTGTTCTAGGCAAATTTTATCTACCTTTTCCAGTCTGTGTTGTTCTGGTTATCATTTAAATGAAAAGGAAATGTCTAATAAGATTCAAGTCCAAAGATATATATTAACAAAACTTTCCTGTTAGGACAGAAGACTGAGGTTATTCTAGCTGTTTCCAAATTTTTACCAATTGAAGTGTAAGAAAAGAGTTGCTCACAAGGTGTTTAAAAAGTAATTTCCTTATTGTTCCCCTTGAAAATCAAAGGGAGTTGCAGTCATGACACATGTATTGTTTGAGATTCTCTAGAAGGTTGCACCATAATCACTTAAGCTGGATGTCCATCTTTGAGCATAAATGAATGTAATGTTAAAAATCCTTACTCATGTTCTCAGAAAGTGCATATGCCCTCTGCCTTAAAAAGGAGGTTAAATGCCTTCTTCCTAAATAAAAATACAACCTCATGTCTATTATCAGTAATTTGCTGGGAATCCAGACTTGATATGGTCTAAATACATGTCATTCATAATTTCAGTATGTTTTATTTTATAAAAGGAAACCTGATGTCAATTTCCTCAGTTTATGAATGATGTTGGAATTCACTTTCACCTTAGCAGATATCTGTTTTCATCAGGCATTCTAAAATCAAGGGATAAAATCTGTAAAAAGAGACTGAGTCTTCCTGTATTAAAATTGTCTTTGTTGTGTTTCACTTGTGTTTGTCAGGAAGAAGTAATGGATGGTTTTGTTGTTCTACCATACAACTTTTCAAATCCTGTTGGCCAAAGATGAAGTGGGTCAAGGGAAAAGGAAACTGTTCCTGCCATTCCCAATTTCCTTCCATTCTTATTCTGTTGCCCAATTATTACTGGTAGTCATCAAATCCAAAATCAATGTTCGTGCTATTTGTGCCCTTATTTGTTTATGAATGTAAAGAATGTGTTGGCAGGTAGTTATGCCATTTCCTCCAGAAGCAGGAGAATGGATCCATCAAATCCTATTCAGAAAAAGAAGCAAATGCCTTCTTTAGAAGCAGTAAACTGTTGGCCTGCTGTTTCTCCAAGGAGGCAGTTTGAAGACCTCTTTCATTCTGAGACTCCTGAATATACTGTGTCCTCAGTATATATGAATGGGAATGGCATTCCCTTCTGGTCTTCACCCTGGTGTTTCCCACCAGAAGTTTCTTTCTACCCAGGAGCATGGGTGCCTACCACTGGAGTCAGTAACACAGTGGCTTTGTGCACCATGGAGCCTTTTTTTGTTAGGGAAATCCTTCACCTGGAGTGTACTGCAGACAAAAATGTCATTCCTTTGATGGTTTGTATAGGTTTCTTTGTAAATGACTATGACAGTGCTCTATTGTGTCTTTTTTTTTTTTTTTAAGGGGTGTTTTTCTCTTTGTGTAAGCAGACTTTCTGCAAATATTATAGTGTACTATAGTTTCACAGTTCAAGTACCATTTTGGCAGCGGTGTTGAACTAACTCATCATCAGATTTGATGACTATTAATTAGGAATTAAGTTTTACGTTCTAAGGCTGACAGTTAACTGTGTTTTCTCAGTGGGATGTAACTGTGCTTATGTAAGACCATGGTAATTTGATAACTGAAGATAGTTGGCTTTATGACTTGTGGGTCTATTCCTTGAGGGAGAAGATGTTATTTTTTTATGTAGAAGTATGACAGGTAGAGCATGTCTTGCTGAGTAGACTGATATGATGTATCTTTCTGCTATCCTAGATGGACAGTTACAGGTGATGCTGTTTCACTGCCTTGCTAACCAATTCCTATGAACAGTTGCATAACAATTAGAAGGGAGGAGGGTAAAAGAGGCTTGAATGGGCCATATATTTTCTGCTCAACAGAAAGGGTTAGGTTTCAGTGACCTTTGGCTACGCTTCAGTTTATGTTGCTTGTGTCTCCTTTGATAATACTGAACATGTATAGTCTTTTCTATCCCTTTTGCAGTGGTATTCTTTACTATCTGCATATAATATGTCTATTTATAGAGTTTTAAATTGCATTTTAATACATCCACATAATAAACATAACACCTTGTGTGCTTTGATCAGTTTCTTTGGCTATGGGAAATAATTTTTCTTTTCAGTGGAGTACAGTAAATGCTGATATAAAAGCTACAACAGGCATTCAAATGAGTGAATATTTAGAAAAAGATGAAAAGCATGTTTGTATTATCTTTGTGTGTTACTTAAAGAATGTTCTAAATGTATGCAGTACCACTGTGCTGGGGGACTGTAGTCTGAAGTAACATGGGAACTAACATATTAATATCAAGGTAAAGGTACATATTCCCCAGATGCATGGTTTTACCTTTTTCAGCTTTTATTATCTTTAGAATAGTGTTCCATTTATTTCATGAATACAGAAGTATTAATTGGCCATGACATGTTCCAAAGACAAAAGAAAGGTCTAATTCACTCTAACAAACTTGTTAGTCACTGTTTATATCAAGAGGATTGTGAATCTACAGAGAGTAACACTGTTTTCTTCTACATTTGCTTTGTTTATAAATCAAAAGTTTTTAAGTGACCTGCAGTGTCTGCTTGTAGTTTAAAATGTTGCTTCTAAAGCAGACCTCCACCATGTAGCACAGATATTTATCCCTTAAGATTAATTCTTTAAGTTCATTTGGGGGAAAGAAGGACCAAAAAAGAAATACAAATATTGTGGTGCTTTTAGAGTATTGGGATTTATTTGTTCTGTAATGTAATATTTCATATTCTAAGATGAAATCCTTCTAATGTGTGTAATTGCTTGTTTCTATGAGTAGTGGGCAATTTGTGAATGCTAAACTCTTGATTTCTGAATGACCATATGTATTGGTACTTCTAAACATTTTTTTTATTAATAAGTATGATTTTTAACTTGGGATTTTTATATCTAAAGTGTTATAGCTGTGATGCTTAGATTTGTTTCGGCTGTTATTAGCTGTATCAGTTTCTAATTGTTATGATTTCACAGTATTTCGGTTGAATGATTTGTGTGATTTATCTAGTGAAGTACATGATCTTTAACTTAACAAAAACCAGGGTTTAAACTTTTCATCCATCCTAATTCAGTTACTGTTTGCTTTGTTCACCAATCACTCTGATCCTCCTAGCAGGGGACAAGACCTAGAGAACAAAACTGATAGTGACTGTGTAGATAAAACGGCAATGAATTCTGCTTTTAAGGCATAGAGGGAATAGTCTGTAAAAGAATAAAAATTGGAATGAAAGTACAGTGTCTTTAACCCGCAGATCTATTGTACCTTTGAAAAGCTTGTACTCTGAAAAAAACATACTGTGATGCTACAGAGATTAATAATTATGTGACAGAACACTTTGAAGAGAGGTCACTTTAGAAACTGACCAAAAAGCTTGTCAAGAAAATAGACCACATTATAAATAATTACAGAAGTAAAGAATGCATTTCCTTAAAATGTCTATGATTGTTTTAGTGAAATACTAGGTGTCATAAAGTATTGTATTTATTATATTATAGAGATGTGTGATTTATTTTCTGATAGAGCCACTTTTAAACTTAGTGAAGATAATGGGGTGAAGGGTAATACTCCAAAGAGATAAATAGGAGAAGTTTCTCATGAGATGCTACAGAAGGTAAGATACCAACCCCAACAAACAGATCTGAATTTTAATATAAGAATCATATATATATATATATATATATATATATGTATATGTAAATGTCAGTACTCACAAATTTAAGCCATCATTTTCCTTCAAAATTTAAAAATGTGGCTTTACGGAATTTTGCTCAGAAATTAATTCTAGGGAAGTAGCTGTGAATGTTTTGTAAGATAAACATGGGTAGTGTCAGAAAAAATTAAAAGAGTGCTTAGGGGTGTTATGCTAAAAGCTAACAGATTATCTAAATTGTAAGTACAATTTTACCCCTTAACTTTGGGAACCTTAATACCTTTGCTGGGTATTTAACTTCAGATGATATCAGGTGTTAATCTCCATAGAGCTCCTCTACAGAATGGAATTGATGCATAATAATGATAAATTCACTGTTTGTTGTATTTAAATTTTAGCACAATGTGCAAATATTTTCTACGTGTGTGGGTCTATCACTTTTTACAGGATAGTACTATATGTATGTAGTGTTTCCTAGCTTAACAAATAATGGTAAGTATTTTATCTTTATTGCTTAACATTCTACAGGTTTTGCCTCATACAGTGATGGGATGTTCTTAACTAGTTGGTATTTGTATTGATATTTGTAATATACACAAGTAATTTAGTATGTTAACAGGTGTTCACTTAAGAGGGCTCACTTGTATTTTACCATATGTTTTGTTTGCTTGCAAAGAAAAAGCATCCTTCAAACAGTATCATGCCTTTTGTTTGTCATTTCACAAAACTATTTGTTTAGTTACTTATAAATCTTTAAAAGCATGCTTAAATTGAATAAACACAAATCTATAACATTGAATGTCAGTTCAGGTATGTCTATTTATTTTTTATCTGTGAATTAACTTGTAGGAAGTATGGTAATTTACAGCAGATGATGTGATTGCATATACTTGTAACACTTGCCATATGGTCAGGCAATGAAGGCTGTCATCTCGTTATTACTGAATGACAAACATCATGTTAAAATAATAACACACAGAATAGGAAGTGCTCACATTCATTTATCTTAAGGTAGAGTGAGTAATTGAAATAATATGAATGCTACCATCTGAAATGTCACAGTTTATGCTTGCTTATCATCTATATTTCAGAACTATAATTTTGTTTGCCAGGTACTACATAATTTTTATCTCTATGGATATACAGAGTTATGATGTTACCTTAGGGATAGGTGTCGAAGCTATTTATTGTTTATTTCATTCCAGTTGTCATACATGACTTTAAATGCTACTGAGTGCAAAAGGTTCCTTTAAAGAACTGAGGAAACAGTATCAGAATCTCAGTTTAGGAAGATGTTTGAAGAAAGGTATTGGTCTAACACATTGACATAGGGGTGGAATGTGCAAACAATGATTTTACTTATAACCCTTTGTTTCACTAAAGCATTTGAAAAAAAATCCCTTTTATTTCTACTTTCACCCATTAACTTTATGTAGCCATAATGTGTTGTCTCTTCATATTAAAGATTTCCTATCAAACTCATGAGTTCAGTATCCAGTTCACAAATACGTATGAAGTTTGAGCAGCTCTTGTTCTAATTTGCCCTGTACATCAAGAGCTGTCATTTAGCCGAATCATATCTGTAGTACCCACTTTGTACAACATTTAATAAATTTTAAAATAATTTAAGTGTGGGCAATATGTTGTTGTAAAAACCAAAAAGTAAAAACTTACAGAAATAATATGGTTTCAATATTTTCAGTGTCAAAGATAGTTTTGACATTTTGTATTGCTACGAAGTGTGGGAACTGGCCAGTATTTTACAAGATTGGGAGTTCAAGTTACCCATGCACACGCTCATATAGCTCCTGGAAAAACAGCCTTTCCTAACAATGTACAGAGAAACCTAGAACCCCTGACATATTCCTTAGTGAAAGAGTGGGGATTGAGCTTGTACAAAACCATCCAAAAATATTTCTCCAAGTATTGGAGTACGTCATTACTGAGCAGAAAACTTGCTCTGATGCCCTTTTCAGGTTTCTGGGGATGTCTCATAGACTAAATAATCACATTAGTATCTGCTAAAATTAAAATCACCCCCTATTTCTGGAATTGTCCTTTATGTGGATATTCAGGAACATCACAGAGAGTCAGATTATTTTTAATGGACTTCAATATCCAAAAACCTCAAAGGACTTCAGAAGCAAAACATAGGTATAATGATGTTTTCCACAAAATTTTTGTGAGGAACTTGGCAAATTAGTCTCTTTATTTAAACAGGACAGATTTTTTTCTCTCTGTGAATAGAAAACACACACTAGCTTCCGTATTTTTAGGTGCTGAGTTTCTGATATCTCTGGCTAGGATTTGTTCGGGGTTTTTTGAAAGATCCAATTAATATTTTATTTCTGTATTTACGACACTTGAAAGCACTTGTTGCTTCAGATAGATAGGGCAAAATTGTCTACATTTCAGAGTAGTAATCTTTCTGAAAATGTTTTTTAAAATTCAATTAGTATGTATAACAAAATCAGTAATGAGCTCAAGATGCATAAGGAAGATTCATTAGCATGGTATACTTAAACTTCTGTGTCATTTTGCCTGGAATTTTAAGTTCTTTTACCATCTGCCCTTTGTTCAACAGCTGTATTATTGCAGCTAAAATGTTTTAATCTGCACTACGTAAAGTTATTTTAAAATTAAGGACTACAGATAGCTTTTGTCCTTGCTCTTCATGTGACATTATTGTCATATAATAAATATATCTGAAAACATAGTTTGGAGTTTTTCAAGACAGGCTGAAATATTGTAAATGCTAAAATTGCCTTTTTTAGGTACAACAACTAGAAAAATTATTCAAAGCTATTGAAGGGGAATTAAAGAAACAGAAGTAAATAAAGACTTACTGAATGAGAAAGTGCATTTGAAAGAATCTTTAAAAGTACAAAAGGAAGTTGCAGACACAAGAAAAAGAGTGCTGGAAACACTACTTAAGAGGATTTGTGAGGTAAAAAAAGAAAAAGCAGAACTTCAATTCGTGATTGATGAGAAGGAAAAAGAAGCTGCCTCTTTGAAGAGGCAAGTGACAGAAGCTAACAGGTTGAGAAATGAAAGTGAAGATTTGCTGAGTCAAGTGCAGGAGCAGAAGTGTTTGCTGGATAAAGCCAAAGCAGTGGCAATCTCTGGGTAATGTAATTGCAAGATAACAGGCACCAAGGTTAAATTAAAACCAGCCAAGAAAAAGAGCTCTTTGGGACATCATGGAGCTTTTCTCAAACAGTCCATCAAGGTTATGAGTAATGTGTTTGAGAACTTCAGTAAGGACGGCTGGGAGGATGTGAGTGAAAGCAGGTACGGCTCTCATTAACTTAGCCCTGTAGAGGGGACACTGTGCATATGTAAAGCACTAGCAAATGGAGATTGAATTTCAACTACTGTTGATTTGGTATTCAAAAAAAATACTGTCAGATCCTTTGAAATATCTTGGGAGGTCTTGTTCGGAGCTTATTGACTGAAATTTGCATGCGAAATTAGCCACAACTGCATGAGTATTTGAATAGGTGCCAGGAAACCCAAAAGAAGGCAATGCTTGATTTCTTCCAGTGATGCTATTTTCATGCAGTCATGAGGCTTGAAATTGACAGTTTGGCAGGTTGATTTAATTTGCTGGCCTTTTGCATATTCACCACTGACAGCTAAGGATTCCCAGGCAAGCCTGGTAAGTCGGTTTAGTTATCTTGTGACATGCCGACCCGGGAGGAGAAACATTTTTTCCCCTTAATTTAGTTAGATAAATTTTGAATGACCCATTTCAGCTTGCTAGCAGATGTCTACAAGCTGTTTAACATCCTTTAAATTAAGAACCATCCACACTAATTATTTCCTGTATGTTTTATGCAGTCATTGTACTAACTTTAATTGAATGATGGTTAAAAATCTTTAAAGGTGATGGTTACCACATACAATCTCAGTCATGAATCAAAAGACTCTCAGAAAATTCCACTGGCAAACGTCATATAAACAATGAGAATTTTTGCTTCTCCTTATTATGTCCCCATATACTTGAGGAGGCAGCAGTTAGCCACTAGGTAAATGGTTATCACACCTTGTCTTTCAGGACATTGTTCTAAGAAATAAGCAAAGAAATTTCTCAAGCCTGTATGTCCTATATATTCCAAGATACAGGAAATATGGGAAAAGAGTAAAGAAAATAGAATTGTCTTCATAGGCTTTATACTGGCTCTGTGCATCATAATGAGCAAATCAATAGTGGCAAATGAAGCCTTTCTACTACTTCTCCCCATGCAAAATAGGGGGGTCCTGAACACAGTATCTAGAGGGAGAAAACAAATTAAGAACCATGTAATTAGTCAGTTGTTGTCATAAATGTAAATCTTGGGGTTTTTTTATGTATAATAAAATATTGCAGATCTGATTTTAATAAGAAGCATACATGTTTGCACATATGGAAACATGTATACATGTTGTAATTAGTATTTAATTTGCTATGTTGTTCTCTTTAAGAAAAACATTGAGCAAACACATTGTCATTCCACTTATAGTTTGAAATGAAAAGTATTTACATGGCTTCCCTTGTGGCTAGCCATAAATACTGCTTTTAATAATTATACAAATGTTGGGTTAGAGAATTCTTGTCGTAGCACAGTGAATATTGTTGAAGTTTCAAGGTGTTGAAGTTTCAACAACTTAGGGAAGTATCTTAATTGAGTTTCCTCTTCTGCTTATTAATACCATTCTTTATTTCTAGTAGCTGGCTCTGAGGTTTTAGATGCAAGCATTCAAATTTCTAAGTAGAACATTCCTTAAAGCAGGTGAGGGAAATGTGTATGTAGTTAGAAATGTCTCTGTGGCTGTACAACAGCCCTTTTAAACCAACGGATTGATTTTGTTCTCATCAATCAGTGAGACATACCAATGTATCAGGACAGGTTTTAAAAAGTATAAATATGTTTATGTGTTAACTCTTCTCATCAGTTTGAGGCCTTTTCTTTGGTTAAGTAAACTGCATCTCTAAACCATGGATTTTTTATGATGATGTAACTTAATTTGAACTCAGTTATGCTGTTTTAAATACCTTGGTTTAAAAAGTAACAAATCAAACTAGCCTTCTGTTTAGGGATTCCTTCACAAATCCGCTCACACAAATGATGATATATAGCACCTGATGTTATAGAAGAGGATATATCCAAGACTTCAAAGTAGACTTCCCTGAATATAAGAAAGCAAATGATAATATGGGGTAAGGCAGTGAGAAACTGGAAATTATGAGCACATTGAGTGTAATTCTAAGGAAAAATTATAAGAAGATTTAAAGTTTCAGGTCCAGTTCTCTGCATGGCAGGAATCTCAGTGAAAGGATTAACAAGTTTACAGAATTTAAGAGCATTCTAAAGGGGTACTGAATAGAGCTTTCACTGAAGTGTGATTTCTGAGTTTGTCTCAGTCAACACTATAAATAAAGTTCAAGTGAAACAAAATGTTGTTAAGGATTGTGCATTTACTTGTTATATTATAAAATGTGAAAATGAAGGAAAGTAGAAATTTAGTAGTTTATGAGCCATTCACATTCTAGAAGTACAATCAAGCATTTTTTCATTTATTTCACTTCTGTGAATTGTCACAAAAGTTAGCTCTTAAGAAGCAGCTGAAGTCTCAGGCCTCTGCATTGTAAAGCGAGATTACATTGACAGAGTAGAACTTGATAAAATAATTTCAGATATAGATTTTTGCTTTATTGTATTTGTAAAGTTTATTTCTTTGTGCTTATGCATTAACTCTGAAGTGTTTAATATTTAGATTGATTTTGGTTTTGGTATTTTTAGAAGGGGGGTTGTTGTTTTTGTTTTGGTTTTTGTTGTTGTTGCTGTTTGGGTTTTTTTTATTTGGTTGGTTTTTTGGTTTTGTTTGTATTTTGTTTTCCTACATATGCTGCTTTAGTGACTCTGAAATACCAACTTCTGAAAGGTTGGAAACAGTGATTAGGAAGACAGTGCAAAACACTGATCCACTGCCAGACAGAAGTTAACAAGAAGAAAAAAAGCCCTGCAATTTGCTTCATTTAGAAGTCCAAAATTAGCAATATTATAAAAAGGTACATATTGTTTTGTTCTCATGGGTGGAATTTTGGAGTTTAATATTAGCACTGCTGTCTGCTTTTAATTAATTTGACTCTCAATATAGAAGTGTAAACCTGTTTCCAAATATTCAGTGCGTGGATTCATTATATTTTAGAATATTTTCTGAACGGTAAGTCTGCTGTCATAGATTCACACTGTCTAGATGCCAGGCATCCACCAAAGCCTCTTGTTCACCCACCTCCATAGCTGGACAGGGGAGAGAATATATAAAAAATGGTTTGTGGGCTCAGATAGGGATAGAAAGAGATCAGTCGTCAAATACTGCCATGGGTAAAACAAACTTGAATTAGACATATAAATTAAATTTTTTACTAACAAAATCAGAGGAGGATAATGAGAAATAAAAGAAGACCTTAAAAACACCCTATTCCCACTCCTCCCTCTTTCCCAGCTCTACCTCCTTCCCCCCAGCAGCGCATGGAGGCAGGGAATGGGGTTATGGTCAGTTCATCACATGCTGTTTCTCCCACTGCTCAGGAAGGGGACTCCTTCCCCTGCTCCAGTGTGGGGTGTCTCCCACAGGAGACAGTTCTCCATGAACTTCTCCAGTGTGAGTCCATCCTATGGGTAAGTCCTCCACAAACTGCTGCAATGTGGGTCACTCTTCTACGGGGTGCAGTCCTTCACAGACAGGCTGCTCCAGCCTGGGTCCCCAGTGGATCACAATTCCTCCCAGGAAATCTGCTCTGGTGTGGGCTCCTCTCTCCCCAGGTCTGCAGGTCCCTGCCAGGAGCCTGCTCCAGCACAGGCCTCCCACGGGGTGCCAGCCTCCTCTCAGGCACCCCCTGCTCAGCTGTGGGTCTCCTCCACAGGCTTTAGGTGGATCTCTGCATCCCTGTGATCCTCCATGGGCTGCAGCTGCTTCACCAAGGTCTGCACCATGGGCTGCAGGGGAATCAGCTCCAGCACCTGCTGGGGCACCTCCTGTCCCTCCTTCTGCACTGACCTTGGTGTCTGCAGAGTTGCTCCTCTCACTTATTCTCTCTCTGCTTTTCTCTGGCCACAATTATATCTGCAATGACTTTTTTCCTTCTTAATTATGTTATCAGAGAGATACTATCATTTCTAATTGGCCCATGGTGGGTCTGTCTTTGAGCTGGCTGGCAATGGCTCTGCTGGACATGGAAGAAGCTTCTAGCAGCTTCTGGCAGAAGTCACCCCTCTAGCTCCCCCACTACCAAAATCTGGCCATACAGACCAAATATACCTATAAAACTATTTGGACAGAAATGTGAAAGATGATTTAAAAATGTAAAGTTGCTGTACAGGCTAGTGGTGCTGTTTCATAGTCCAGGCAAAAATGCCACAGACATCCCATTGAACTTTCAGTCAGAAGCACCATACAGAGCAGGCTGACCTAACCCGTAACAGGGAGATAGCAACATCCCTCTCTCCCTCCCTTCTAGCCAAATGGTGTGCTGACTAATCAAGCTTAAATGTCTCTCAGTTCGTTTGTTGTGCACTGGATGAGTTTCTCCATCTTAGAAAGATGCTTTTGACACTCTCTGTGTCCAGAAGATTCTGTCTTGAGAAAAGTTTGCTTTTTGCCTCTTCTTAGCCTATTTACATGGATTGTCTGGGATTTGAACTGCTTGTCTCATTGCTAACATCTATATGCTGTTTTCTCACAGAAGAGGGCCAGCTGGTTGTGTCCCAGGTCTTAAGAGGGTCTATACAGTCTGTAACAGATGACTCATTCTTGGACTTTTTAACAGTGCCTAATAGATTTTCCCTCCTATGTTCGTCCAAATAAATCATTTAATGGAATTTTAAACATAACCAGATATTATTATTTCTTAGTTCAAGAAACAGAGTACTGAAACCCTGAACAACTTGCTGCTTTTAGATAACTAGTTTGAAATTCAGTATTTTGAATGGTGATATAACAGATTTTGAAAAAAGATTGTTTCCTTAGTTTCCAAAATTTTAGTCCAAATGCAGACTCTCTGGTCTTGTTACATATTCTTGATGGTGTTATTTCATCAATACTTTTGGTGAAATAAACTGAAAAAAAGGAAAATTCTTACCCATTAATCTATTGGTAACAATACATAGTTTGAGTAGGTGCACATGCTTATATATGAAGATCTGACAGAAATGTGCTACTGTACTTAATCTCCTTCTACTCCTGAGTGAGGACATACAAGGCAGGGAACCCAGGACACTGTCCTCTCTTCATTGTTAGTATAGCACAGCCACTACAATTTCTGTAGGGCCTGTATTTAATTTACTCTCTGTTCCTAGTGGAGAAGATAGATACATTCTGATAGACATTTGTAACTGACTGGTGGAACTGAAGCAGACTCAGGAAGTGTCTGGAGAGCACTAAGCAGTTAAATATGCCTCAGTAGAACTCCCCCATTGCAGGAAAAGGATTTGAAAACATGGTTTATGAGTGTGAAAGAAAGTATTGCACAAATAGCATTAGCATTAGCAGTTGGGAACACCAGTTTAACAGAATTCTTTAATCCATCCAAAGGATTTAAGGACCCTGCTGGTGGGTATTCTCATACAAAGAGAGGCTAAAGATATTTCTGAAGTCTTGAGCTGTGCAAAGGGTTGGTGATGAGACCATTTATGATACAAGGACTTGGTCATTTTTTCTCCACGTGGTAGGAATATACAATGCCCTCTGCAGTATCAGCAGAGTTACTGTAACTCTCTTACAACTCAAACATTTATAAGAGCTGTGGCTTAGAGTGGAGATCTCAGTCTTTTTGCTATAGATGTGGATTGTTTGCTTGTCATGTGCTGAGAGCTCAGTTCTTGGTCTTTCAAATTGTGTGGTGATTGTACTTATCTAGAATTCATGGCTAAGTTATCCTGCAATGTCAGCAGTTTGTTAAGTGCAGTTAGTAGAGAATGTGTTGGTCTTCACTCTTTTAAATTTGCTTAACAGCTATTTTAGATATGAATATTCCCAGGAATATGTTGCATGATATGACCTAGAAATTGAAATCTGAAAACTTAAAAAACTGGAGAAAGATTGCAGTGTTCCTGATCAAAAGTGTTTAAATATACACTGAGCATATAATACCTAGTAAATTAGTACACAAGCCCAATGACAGTCTGGTCCAAGATTTGTTTGTTTGAATTTGTGCGTTTTTAGATATTTAGCTCATTTTTTTAAGGTGAAATTCTCATATAAAAAATGACTGTCAAACAGCATCTTTTCACACAGTTAAAGTTTTTACTAAGTCTCACCTAGTGAATCCACTGACTGATATTAGGTTTTTCATTACCTTTTGTTCATGTTTGGCCCTTGTAGCCAACATAGCCAATGAAACAAATGTGTTTTGTGGTTTAGACCTTAAAAAACCCCAGCCTGTTAACAAGACACTGAAGCCTCTATTTTTGATAATCTTAATCAGAAATTCAAGACACATGTAACTTCCAAGTCCTTGTTGATTTTGCATTGTTGCCACTTAAGGAAAAGCATAACATGGAGTGTTTATAGGTTGACTGTTTTATATGTTTTATGTTTTTTAGATCAGTTGTTAATTTACCAGTATACTTACTAAGAAATATTTTGAGATTTCTGGAGTGTTTTGAAGGGCCAAAACAAAATCATAAATTATGTTACTTATGATGATTTTGTCCATTTACTAATATGCCATTTTATGTCCAGTGAGCAGAGCAAAAGGGAGAAATATCACTGTCCAGAAACCAGGCAACTCTGTTACTCTATTGCAGGAAAAAATTAAGCCGCTGCAGAAAGTAGGTAGCTGTTGTACAGAGGAAAAAAAAGACAACGGTGACTTCCATTAAAAATGTTAAACAAACCGATGAAAAATTAACAAGTCAGCTACATTTGGCTGATCAGAGACTTCAAGTTAATAAACTGACCATAGAAGTAAAGTACTTTCATTATAGTGTCTTGCAATGTTCACGTTAATTCTAGTGCAGTTCTGTGAAATTTTGATAACATTGATTTTTTTGTATTTTTTTAAATTATAGTCAAAATTATGAAATATTATATATTACCGTGCTTTGTGTGAAACACTTGTTATGTGCAGATAATATTAAGGCTAGTGTATCAATGCAATTTATTTATCCTTTTGAAAATAAAGTGGTCTTCATGCGGATTTTTTACATGTATTCAAATGACTGAGGTAAGTTTCATTTTTAGCCTGTGATCTGCAAACCTTCCTGAGAATCTGGTTAGTCCAGAACTAGTACCTGTTCCTCTGTGAAGAACAGGCACTGTCTCCATACACCCCAAGACAACTAGAGTTTTCTTCCAAAGGGGACTCAGACCCATTCTGTATCTATTTAATCCCATCTTTCTCTGTTAAGGCGAAAAGCCAAAAAACAAAGTTTATGGAAGTAGGGACTAATAAAGTATTTAGTTAACAACCTAAGGACACAAACTTTCTTCTCTGCTTCAGTCTTCATTTCTACTTAATCCGTTTCCATGCTATTACTCCTTTCTGGTTTTCCCCATTCTCATGTATATATGTATTTTGTGTTAATCTATATGCAGCTCCTCAGCTGGAATTCTTTTCTGTTCATACTGTAGTGATTGGCCTGCCCTTTATAGAGCTGAATCAACAAACACTTATGCAGTAATTGTCTCCTGTTGGTCACACACACATCCTGCTTCCAGAATTATAGTGCTACAACAGATGGACTTGCTGGAAGGAGGCAGACATTAAAAAAGAAATCAAATCCCCTCCCCCTCAAACTTCACTGTGTTTTTGTCTTTGCACAGAAGGCAGAAGCAGTATCAGGAACAGCACTTTTCACTTTCTTAGGACTAGGGAACTGCTAATTTCTAGAGGAGAGAAAACTTCATTTCTGTTACTTATTTTGCATAACTATGTATGTGTAATGAATTGTTTAAAAAGAGTTTCCAAGATCATTGGAACCAGTGAAGATCTGCCTATCTTACAAACAGTATCATAATATAAAGTTTCATGGACAGTAATTTAGTGAAAATGTTCTGATTTCTCAGACATCTTCATGATTTGCCTTCCTAAAAGACTACTCCTTAGGTGTCTATTGAAGAGCAATGTGAGAAATAAAATAGGAAATGCTGTTATCAGGGAACTGTTTAAAAATAAAAAAGAAAAGAAATGGGGGGAACAAAATTTATGTAAAGATAAGAGCTGCTGTAATGGAAAAGACTGACTAAAATTAAAAAAGCATTGCTTTAAAACCAAACTGGTTTTCTATCACTCAGGTTTTCTGGAAGGTTTAAAAAAAAAATGGTCACTGGTCTATTTAAAGGGTGGTGCATTCTAAGCAAAAATAAATAAAGGGTGTTTCGGGTACTCAAGGAAAAAATCTTTATTAGGCATGCACATTTTTTTCCTTCTCAGCAAACGATTCAAATTCCCTTTCTTACAACTAATTACTCTTCAGGTGCCATACTAGTGCTACCAAGTGGGATATTTAAAGCAGAGGCTTGGGCTACTTGCCAAGTGAAAATTAAGGAGGTAAAGAACCTACACAGTCACTGCAGGGTACACTCATGTTTTAGAGAGAGAGCCCTGATTCAGACAGATCTAATGGTTCTAAAGCACACTTGTGTGGGGGACTTGTATGAGTTGGTTTTTGGTGGGTTTTTTTTTTTTTTGTAAGAAATGCTATCTAGAAGTGAAGTTTTAAGATACTGCAAGGGAAATAATGTTTTTTAAGGTTTTCTTGTTAATACTTTTGTTACTTTAGATTTTAGAATTTTCTTGAGAGGTAGAAGGTAAAAACAAGCAGTCAAACCATGGAAAAAAAATACTGATACAATCTCTAGATTTGGAGAAAATCTTAAATACTTCAAGAGTGCCAAAATTACTAATATCCAAAAATAAGCATCTACAGTTAACTGCCATAACCATATAAAGTTCTGGGTAAGCTTACATTAATAGTGAACTTTTGGTCCTAGGCTAAGGTAAGTTTAGCTGTCTAGCGACTGTTAACATTAACATCATGGCTTGGACAAGATGCCATTTTGCCTGAATTTATTGAAGAGAATAAATGCTTTAGCAGACAAGGACAGATGTTTCTGCAGTCAGTCCTTCATTTTAATCCCCAGGGACTCTAGAAGATCAACTCTAGATTTAAGATTTAAATATTCCAGATGTTCATTTTGAGACAGATTTTACAGTTCATGCAACTTAAGGACTCTCTACTATCTGCTGGTTTTCACAACATCTACATGCATGGTTTTGTGTATTTTTCTTGAAAATCCACCCAAGCATGTATGTAGTGTATATTTGTCTGCTTTTAAGAGTTCAGAATTCTGGATTTAAGTTCTGGTTTTGTTTGGCCTTATAAATGCTTTGCAGTAATATAGATATCTGGCTTTGTTTGATTTCTGCAAAAGCAATTCCTTGCATATTTAAAAAAAATGGCTGTGAAGTGACTGCACATGTGAGAATCAACACTTGCATTCTCCAAGGATTTACATTAACACTGAGTCAAGACCATCTGTACAAGAAGTACAGTAGTTACATTTTGTTATTGGTGTATAGAAATCACAGCTGGAGCAGATACTAAATGTGGAAGCCATGGTATTTATTGTTTTCTTAGTTTCTAAGAAAAGCATTTAGAAGAAATTGTTGGGGAAATTCAGGATCTTTTCTCTAAGGTTTAGTGTTCCCTCTACTCATTTCTATCATTCAGTACTTATAAAAAGAGGGTTTTTATTGCATACAACACAGTAATCATAATTAGTTTTATGCAGTGTCATTCTTGTGGCAAAAATCCATAAAAATTATATTGAAAAAGAAATTAAAACCATAAGTAGTTTAAGTCACTAGCGCTTCTCTTATTCATGTGAAGGCTATTCAAATGTCCACTGCTCAAATGTACCATATTTTTGCACTTCCAGTGTTTCTCAGATGATGTCATAGGAAAGCTGCATTTCTTTACAGAATACTGTGGGCAATTGCATAGTGTCTGTGTAAGTCTACTTCAGCAAAATTGAATCTCAGAATAATAACAAGTCGACTGGTCAAATGCTGGCACATTCTTTGAAGAGGATAATGTGAAGGTTTCAGTAAAGTTTTTTTCAGATGCCTTCCTGCAGATATATTGCTATGCTTTTGCTGAACTGGGAAGGTGCTTTTAATTTTTTTTAGAAGCATAGTTTAAATCTGAGCCAGACTACACTTTTTTCACTTTTTTTTTCTGGCTGCATTTTAAATACACATCCAGACTTTATTTTAGCTATTTGATTTTCACTTTTCTTTGAATTTTAAGGGAACTCTTTTCCCCTGAGATCTTAGTTTGTTTATCTAGTAGATTATCTCAAGGATAGAAAGGTATGAGCATGAAAAGTAGAAAAGCAAAGTGCTAAAGGAAGCTTTTTTATTCTTTAAAGGTTGTGGCTTACTTTACATATTCTCTTGACTACTTTTTATTGCTCAGTGTATCAAAGCATAGGCCAGAGTTCGGTGTTGCATCTGCAAAACCAGCATCACAGCTTCACTTCTCTTATGTACCCAAATAAAAGTAAATCTGCTAATTTAGTATTCTTCGGTTGCACTGAAACGAAGAAGAAGTTGATGATAAATTTAGATGCATTGAAAATTATTGACTGAAGTATTATTTTATGCAAAGATGTCACTTAAATTCTGGTTTTCATTGAAGTTTTTTTTCACTCTTTAAAGATGCATTATCACACTTAATATAAGTATTATATTTTATATATACATACATATATATATATATAACGATTTATGTATGCTTGTTTTCTTAAAGTAAATTTTAGGAATAAATTTGAAATTATAAATGAAATTTTATTTGTAATTCTCCTGCAGTAGCTGAAACTGCTTTTGCAATTTCCTCACATTTTCTTCATTCCAGGAAATGTGTAATTACTTGGACAGAGTTTTTTGGGCTTTCTAGATAAATGTAGTCCAGTTAGAAATGGTTGTAAACCTATCCAGTTATTTCATGTCAAAACACTTCTATAAATGTCCTGGTTTTATATATTTGAAGTCTCTTACATGGATGTACTCCAGACAATTTGTGTATTTTTATTAAGTTCATGAAAGATTCTGCATTTTAGTGTCACCTCTTCTAAGCTGAGTTTTGGATTTTCTTCTTTCTCTGGTAGCATAAAAAGATATTTCTATTATGTACATTAGATAATTTTAATTATATCTATAGAATATCTGAATGATAAAAATTTATTGAAAGTTTTTGAATTACTGAAATTTGGAAGACTAAATTAAGCAAAAATAGTAATTAATAGAAATAAACTTTGTATAAAGTTACTGCTACATCAGCATATGCTAAGAAGCATTTTTCTATATTAGAAGAAAGAACCTGCATCAAAAGAATTAGCATGTTATTGTAATATTACAGAGGTTGTAAGGTTGTACACATTTCTGTAAGTATAGCTAATATATCTATATCCAGTAGCTTAATATAGTAATGGAACAGACATTTAGATTATATAGATGATACAGAAGATATCCTGTAACTTTTATGTTATTAATTTCATGTGATATGAGCTTTTTTATTCACCTTTCCTGTGATTTGATCAAACTTTCCTTTGCATTTGCTCTTAATCTTACTATTGGAAAAAATACCCTGAACCAAAACAGAACTCAATTTGCATTTTTTTTTTCTAAAAAAAATTCTCAAATAAGATACATCTTGAGACCTGGAAAAACTCAACATATACTATCATAATAGGATTTCCTTCTGTGTTCACATGAGTGTTTTTATTGAATTCACTGTGATCTGCTTAGTAATTAAAGTTAAGCATAAAGCTGCCCTGGATTCTTGAACCTTCTCTACTATGTAAAGTCCTACAGATAATATATAGTTTTGTCAGAGGATATTTATTCACCAATAAATCTCAAGCAAAGAAGGTCATTGATTTGGGAATAATTATTCATATGT